ACACACACACACACACACACACACACACACACACGGGGGGGAGAGACTCTACGCTCGGTGGGTGGTTAGCTGATGGCTGGTTGGTTGTCTTTTGTGTGTGTAACGTGTGCATCTGCATGCGCCCTTATTTGCGTATGTGGCACGTCTGTATGCGTCTACGCACCACGTGCAATCGCGTACGTGCACAATTCACTTGATTAAGCAGGGGGCATGCATCATGCGGACCTCGTGGCAGGCAACGAGCAAAGCCACGGCGAAGAGGTGGAGAAGGAGAAGCAGGAGAAGGGGAAGGAGAGTAGGAGGGCGATGGTGACGACGAGAGAAACAAGCAGGGGGAGGAGGAAAAGGCTGACGCAGCTAGTGACCTGCAGAGAAGATCGAGCGGCTGACAACCGACGTTCGCGGGTTTTTCTCTCTATGTTATGCACGAGGTTCACCAAGAAGAGAGACGATGCTGCCATGGCGTCCCGACCGCCCATTTCGCGACCATCATAAAAGTCACTGCTTTTGCTGCCGAAACCCGAAGCCGCTTGCGCGCCTGCTCTGTGCGACTGGGGTGACGTCCACGAGAAACAAGTAGGCAAGCCATCAGCGGCGCTCGACGGCGAGACCGACCAACGCGGATATGCAGCGTTGTTTCCCGCCGCCAGAGCGATGGCGGTCCCGTTCATCTCCATCCTACCTCGTCGGGATACCCGCGTGTAATAGCGGGCAGATGAGGACGAAGGGCACATGGCCTGCGCGCTCGGCGCGCTCTGCGCGGGGCATACAACGCAGTGCGACATTCCGCTCGATGGAAAATCTCGCAAGCTGATCGGTCGGGGGCGTCGATGAGGGAGGGGGAGGGGGAGGGGGAGGGGGAGGCGGGACGGGCGACCGCTGACCGGGTGCCATTCCTGCCCTCGGAGAAGGGCATTTCAACCTTGCAATCATCTTGGCTATGACGGAACGAGCTTGAAGACTTCTCGAAGCTCTGACGAAGAGATACGGACCGTAGATAACAAAGATCAACGGCCTGTACCTCTTCATCCGTACTGGTGGGACCTCGCCCCGATACACGTTCCTTTCCAAGACCTCTTCTTTTTTTTTCTTTTTTCTAATTAATTTGGACCATTTCTCGATTTATGTGTGTCATCCTTGCCCTCGGGCTAGGACCCACTAGCCAAGTGTTACCATGTGGAGGCCACACTTTCGATGATGTGTTGATGTGTGGCCGCGGGCGTTTGCGCTTGCGCGAACAGCTGGCAAACATGTTCGGGCGAACATAATTATTTTCCCATAAAAAAAAAAAAAAAAAACATTTTTTTTTTTTTTTTTTTTTTTTTTTTTAAACTCATGATTGTCTACGAATTTGAACATGACTCCAAGGCAAAAGTTGCTCGTATTGTTATTCTACATAACATATATTGTTTCCAGAATTTTTTGAGAACTTTCTTTTTTTTTTTTTTAATATTTTTTATGTTCGCGTTCGGAGTTTTTTGGGCGCTTGTTCGCGTTCGGGGGAACATGTTAGCGTTCGCCTCCGAATGCGAACACGGTGCTACGTAGGTCTATGCTATGTTACAGGTCCTTTCTGAACTTTTCCATTCAAGATTTGACTAGTTTTCACTTGATCCTACAAGGATTATCTTCTATTACCTTTTGATAGCAGACTGGTTGTCGACCTATCGGTTTCCGACTTGAATTTAACTCACTCTCACCAATCAACCTAAAGGCCTTCGTCCCTATGGGCTGAATTATTTCTTTGGGTTTTATTTGAACTTTTATTTAATGGTCATTTAAAAAGGTACTGGGTGTTTTATTTTGGAACGTTGGACAAAGGTTGGGGCTTGTGTGGATAAGGCAAGGGGTATGAGTGCAGGAGTGGTTGAAGTTGACCCCGTGTAGTGCGTGGTTTGCCGATGTTGAATCCTTGATGTGATTGCAGGTCTATTTTGTGAGTGGAAGTCCAGATTTGACTTTGTCTGCGATTATAAATATAGTTCGAAGGGAGTTACATTGTGATTGTGAGAGTATTTGTTACGTGCTCCTATTACCCTCTTTGTTTATATGTGGTGGATTCGCGCGGTCCTTTATGACCGTGCGTCTTCATCAAGTAGACAATATCGAGAGAAGAGGGAAAATTCATTTTTAATATTCTTATAGTTGGACATCAAGGTCTGTAGCGGTTGTCGAAGTCAAACCCCTTCACATGTTTCCAGACCTCCAATGATGGATCCACACTATTTGTGTTAGGGGCGTTCAACCATTAATAAGGGCCAAGGTCCGCCTACCACTCGTCTGTGCAGGGTGCAAAAGAGGTTAGGACTCACAAGCACTTTGACGATCATCTAGCACCTAGAGATTAACCTCTCAAGGCGCTCGTCAACCAACACTCGAATGTCGAAAGCGGCCCCCAAAACCATTGAGAGTCATATTATTATGGGTACTACATAGTACGTCATCGTTGCGACTGCTTGCGTATTCATACATGGCTAATCGATATGACGAAGCCAACGTCCTCGCAATATTTATTTGAATCTCGCGTGTGATGCCCGATTGTTTCCTGTGTCAGAGATATTATGGGTTGGATACAAAAAGAGACAAGACGCAATTTTCTGTGTGAAACTTTGGTTTTCTTTTGGCGTGGTATAACGTGTGGTTAGATGAACTGTCCTAATCGATTAGCGCGCTTGGGACATTATCCCCCAGAGCGTCGCCTCACGTACAATTTCGATTAAGGTGTGCGACCTCACGTACCCCCTATGCTACAACGTACAAGAAACGCCTCGGTTGGACCACCTTTGCAATTGCAACCAAGTAGCTTTTGCACGTGGTTCGGTAGTTCGGCGAAGATACGCCTATTCAAAGGTGGTGACAGCCTCTTAGGCAAAGGTAAGTTGTGCCTCGCGTGACCCTATCATATCGTAGGGGTTCGTCAGAGGTATGGGTGGCGTACTCGGCTGGAGCGACGAAAGCTCCACCGCTAAAAAAATCCTGCAAAAATCCAACATAACGTGGGCAAGAGGATACCCCTGCGGGACCGATGCGCTCCGCACTGTTTTTCCACAGTTGTAGCACGATCTAACGGCAGACCTGGGTAGCACCCCGTACGTGTGCACAGTGCATACGCGTATGTACTCCAGCATATGCGTATGAACTCGAAATTGTGCGTACGCGTACGTAAAAAAAAAAAAACAAATCCAAAAAATCTGAAAAAAAATGTATGTTGTGCGGAATAATGATAGCAACAATTTTTGCCTGGGAGTCATACCCGAATTCCCAACCAAGCTTGATTCAAAAATTCAAAACCTTGAAGAAAACTTAAAAAAAATAATATAAAAATAATTTCTTACTCGAGTTTGATTGGGAATTCGAGGATGCCCGCTTCTAAAAGAATTTTCACTAATTGTGCTACGGTCGAACGCGTCTAACCAATTGCTACATACACACAATACATTTTTTCTTTCTCAGAGGCACCTTTTACATTGATTTGCCTCTGAGGTAAAGCAGTCAGACTACCTGCATCAGTTTGGTCTGACATTTTGGCAGCTCTTTCTAATAAACGAGAAATGTAGATAAAACACATCTCATGGGAAAGTTTTTTGACCTGGTGGTCGACGTAACAATAATGACATTTGTCGATATGCCACTAATTGTTTACTTAGATCATCATAGATAATTAGAGCGTGCATTCCATTGTCTCAGAAAAATTCTCCTATAGCACAACCTGCATAAGGAGCAAGAAATTGAAGAGGAGCAGGATCTGATGCAGTGGCTGCCACAATAATAGAATATTCTAAAGCACCCACTTTTAAAAGAATTTTCACTAATTGTGCTACGGTCGAACACTTCTAACCAATTGCTACATACACACAATACATTTTTTCTTTCTCAGAGGCACCTTTTACATTGATCTGCTTCTGAGGTAAAGCAATCAGACAACCTGCACCAGTTTGGTCTGACATTTTGGCAGCTCTTTCTAATAAACGAGAAATGTAGATAAAACACATCTCATGGGAAAGCTTCTTGACCTGGTGGTCGACGTAACAATAATGACATTTGTCGATATGCCACTGATTGTTTACTTAGATCATYATAGATAATTAGAGCGTGCATTCCATTGTCTCAGAAAAATTCTTCCATAGCACAACCTGCATAAGGAGCAAGAAATTGAAGAGGAGCAGGATCTGATKCAGTGGCTGCCACAATAATAGAATATTCTAAAGCACCCGCTTCTAAAAGAATTTTCACTAATTGTGCTATGGTCGAACGCTTTTAACCAATTGCTACATACACACAATACATTTTTCCTTTCTCAGAGACACCTTTTACATTGATTTGCTTCTGATTCAATGTAGTATCAATAACTATAGCAATCTTACCTGTTTATCTATCTCCAATAATAAGTTCTCGTTGACCACGACCTATTAGAACAAGGTTATCCACCGTTTTAATCCTTTTTGCATTGGTTCATGCATAGATTTACGTGAAATAATTCCCGGAGCTTTGACTTCTACACGTCTTCGCTCTACAACGCCTAAAGCACCTTTTCCATCAACAGGTACTAACGCATCAACAACACGACCCGACATAGATCTTCCTACAAAAACATCTACAATAGATCCAGTACGTTTGACAATATCTCCTTCTTTAATGGCAGTATCACTACCAAAAACCACAATTCCTACACTTTCATTTTCTAGATTCAGTGTCATTCTTTTAACACCACTGGAAAATTCGATCATTTCTCCAGCTTGAATCTTGTTCAATCCATAAACACGTCCAATTCCATCTCCTACCGAAACCACTCGATCGATTTCATCCACTTGTAATTTGGTGTAATAATTTGTAATTCTTTGTTCTAATAAAGTAGATACATCTCACAAGGACTTCTCCGACAGTTCACAAGGACTTCACGTGCAAGAGGCAGCAGACAGTCTTCAGGATTCGACAACAACACTCTGGAGGAGGACTGCAGTAGTAGTAGTAACCTTACCTGACTTCTCTGTATCTGCAAACCACAAGAGAGAGAGAGAGAGAGAGAGAGAGAGAGAGAGAGAGAGAGAGAGAGAGAGAGAAGAGCGAGAGAGAGTGGTGACTTTGAAACTCGACGACATTTGGATTCAAAGTCGACATTTGGATTGAAATATTGGACGAGGGATTATTTGGGACCTGTATCGAAGACTTGGTGTTGACGACATTCCCATCTTCCCCTCTTCTTCGTCCGATCCCCTCCTCTTTGTCTATGCATGGTCTGCACCTGGCGCCCTTTTCCTGTGTGTAGCGTCAGACCCTTCACACCTTGCGATGATGATGGTGTGTGTTTGGTCTGCATGGCCAGCTTGCTTGATCGACTGATTGTTAAATGATTGATTGATTGATTAATTGATGATTGTTTATTAGTGAATCAAGTAGGGCTTCGTAAAATCTCTGCAAATTTTTTTCTCGCAATTTCAGATATTAACATTTTGTTTTTCTGTTTCACTCTGGGCATATTAGGTGAACTAGGGAGGTTGTCATATTCTCGGACTAGATTTATTTTCCTATGAAAGTGGAACCTCCAGTCTATTTCGCGCAAAAAAACGTTCAAGATCACTTTTTTTTTTTAAAGTCGAAACTTTGCGAAACCTTGCCTAGATTTTGCTCATCGTACTCCTCTGAAATGCCTCACTGGTAGCAAATCGACAGATATAAAAAAAAAAAAAAAAAAAGGAAGGGTGATCCTCTTCTTTTATTTCTATTTTATTCTGTTGATTAGAACCG